GATTTGTTGAATGTAAAACTGATGATATGCCCTGTAAACTTTCACTCAACCCACAACAAAAACCTTAAAAAAAAAAGAGGAGAGAGGCAAAGACACAGAAGGAGGAGGAAGGCTGAGCGAAGGAAAAGCCTGCAGAGGTCCGGCCGGGGTCACCTCAGGGCTGGGCATGGAAGGGGTCCGAGGTGTCCTCTAGCTGGCACCAGAGCTCTGCCCAGCACCATTAGTCAGAAGAGAAGTCCAGCCTCCCAGTCTCCCCCACCCACCCTGCCTAGCCTGGGCACCACCTCCACATCACCCGCCAGGGGGCACTCACTGCCCATCCTTGGTCCATTCCACCTGTGGCATGGGGACCCCTGAAGTCCAGCATTCCAGCTCTACCTCTCCATCTTCCAAGCCCAGCACCTCCTGGGCGGGCCCAGCTCCAAGCACAGAAGGTGGTGCTGGGGGACAACAAGGGTAAGGAGTGAGGACTTCTCAAAGCCGCTAAGCCCCCTCCTCCAGCAGGGTCTCTGCATGTGCGGGGCATCTGACCCAGTGAACTTTTCCCATCATCCATTGGTCCTTCGAGGACTGGATTGGGCCCGGAACTATGCTTCCTTGGTAGAATGTACAAAGTAGAATGTGCTCTTTGTAGAGTTAAACGATGACAATTACTTGATTAAGTGCATGATTGTCTAATGTCTTTCCCTCCCCCAGCTCTGTGAGGACAGGACATAGGCCTGTCAGGGTTCCCCTAGGCCCCTCCTCTGGCACACAGTGAGTGGTCAATACAGATGTTTGAACACACACAAGGGCCTCCAGCCATCCCAGCGCTGCTGTCCAACCCCCACAAGGTCTGCCCTCTCTCTGCCCACCCCAGGAACACTCACTGAGCACTAGGAGCTCGAAGTCCCTCTGGACAGTCCCAGCCTGGTTCTCTGCCCAGCAGGAGTAGAGGCCAGAGTCGCCCTCCTGGACCCTGGGGAAGTGGAGGGCCCCATCCAGGAGGTGGTGGCTGCCAGCCTCAGGGATCTGGGTGGGTAAGGCCAGAGGGACCTGGTGAGCCATCAGTTTAGTGACTAGGAAAGTGGGCCCAGGGAAAGCAAGGGACCTACAGCTGCTTGGTGACCAGAACCCTGGTGCTCTACCCTATCCACCATGTAGAGCCCCTGACTTCATAATGAGGCCACAGTCCCCACTAACCTGAGTCCCATCCCCAAAGGTTCCTGTCACAGTCTCAGCAGCACCCTTCCCCTAAAGAGAGCCCCGCCCCCAGGGGTCACCCACCAGCTGTCCATCCTTGAGCCATTTGATCTCGGGGGTGGGGAAGCCATGGGCATCACACTCCAGCGTCAGTGACTGCCCGACCATGCCTGACACATTGGCCTTGCGTGCGTCCTCCTGGATGCTGGGGGGCACTTGGGGAGAAGGAAAAGCAGAGGAGTTATCTCCCCACCCTGAGAGCGAGCCACGTCCACCTGGACTTAGGCTGGGCCATTCTCCATGGCCTGGACGGAAAGCCCCGGCTCCCTCTTCTCCCATCCCCATTCTTTGGGCCTGTCATCCTGGCCCCTGGTCTGACTGTGGCCTTGAGGAGCCCTGAGGACCTGGGGTCACTACATCTCCCAGGATGCCACCCAGGAGGCTGCAGCAGACTTACCGGGCTAGGCCAACAGGGAGTGTGCCACTCACTCAGCTTTGTAAGACCCTATGACCCTGGGGCCCATCTGTTCTCATACCCAGCCCCTTGTCACAGCCCCAGGAAGGCCCCACTCTGATCCCCAGAGGCAAAATCTGAAGCAAGGGTTTGTCTTCATAACAAACTGCCCATGCAATTCATTAGATAGTGAGGTGGGTGTCTGGTCTCCCAGATGATCTAGCCCTTGGGCAAGGAGAGCCTCCACCCACTGTGCCTGTGTTAAAGCAAAGGGGCAAGGCTCCCTGGAGGTGGACTCTAAGGCTCATTTTACAGTCAGCTCATCTATTCCAAACTAACCCCACTGCCCCCAAATAGACTCCGACTCACAGCAACCCTACAGGACAGAGCAGAACTGCTCCCCAGGGTTTCAGAGGCTGTAAAGCTTTACACAGGAGCTCTGGTAGAGTAGTGGTTACGATTCGGCCTGTGAACCTCAAGGTCAGCAGTTTGAAACTACCAGATGTTCTGTGGAAGAAAGATGAGGCTTTCTGCTCCCGTAAAGATTTACAGCCTCGGAAACCCTGTACAGGGTCGCTATGAGTCAGAACCGACTCCACGGCACATAACCACCACCACCAAAGCTTTACACAAAGCTTCAGCTTTCTCCTGAGGAGCGGCTGGGGGTGGGTGCAAACACCAACCTTTCTGTTACCAACCTAACACGTTGCCACCACCGCTTCTTATTCACCTATGAAACCATTTAAAAAGATGTTTATGGAATTCCAGATTTCCCTCCACCTATACGATCTCCTGGTGCGGTGCTGTAGGATAAGCACTGGACTGCTAACTGCAAGTTCAGTGGTTCAAACACACCAGCTATTCCTTGGAAACCCTTTACAGGGTTTCTATGAGTTGAAACCAACTCGACAGCACTTAACAACAGCAACACGACCTCCTTGGATCTCTGGGGAGGTGGGTGGGGGTATCTAGTACAACCTGCCACTCTCTCAACATCTTCAAAGCCTCCCCTCTCCAGGCAAGCAGTGGAGTAGCACTGCCACCCCTGAGCATGCCAGTGTGACCCTAAGCCCTGGCATCCTAGGGGCCTCTGGTCAGTCCAGGCCATAGGAAGTGGGTACAAGCCAATCTCTAGGTCCCTACTTGCCACCACCACCAGACCCCCCGGCTCACCATAGACTATCAGCTTGGCCCTCCTGGACGCAGAGCCTGCCTCATTGGTGGCCTGGCATTCGTAGTCCCCACTGTCACTGGGAGAGACTGAGGCCAGGAACAGAGACCCTTCATCCAGCACCACCACACCAGGCCGGCCACGCAGGGGCTCCGAGGACAGGCCCTTCCGCCACGTCACCTGTGGCTTAGGTGTGCCTAGCAGGGTACACAGATCGTCAGCACCAAACACATCAACTCACAGTGTCCCCCACCTTGGGTCTCTTTCTTTGCATATGTAGAGGCCCTTCCCTATGCAGGTCCCAGCATCTCTCTGGACTCCAGGCCTAACGCTCCACGCCCACACTACTGCCCAGTCTCCCGAGCAGCCCAAGAGTCTCTTCTCTGTGGTCCTTCTTGTGAGGCCTCATCAGGCACTTTATTTAGAACTGTACCCCTACCCGGCACACCCAACCCGCCTGGGGTGGTATTTGTTTTGAGGGGTGTTTCCCAACATCTCCTACTTTCTAACTTGCTCTGAATGCGTTTATTTAGGTCTTTATTTTTATTCTGTCTCTCCCCACAAGAACCAAGATTTTGGTTTAGTTGCCTGCTGTACCCCCAGCCTCAGTGCAGTGCCTGGTACATAGTAAGTGTGGAGTTGAAACCAGCTGCTGTCAAATTTGCTCTGACTCATGACGAATGACCCCACGTGTTCCATCGGGTTTTCTTTCTTTTTTTTTAAATTTAATTTTGTTGCTGTTGTTGAGAATATACATCGCAAAACATCCATCCATTGAACAGTGTCTACATATATAATCTAGAGTTATTTCCCCCCACTAACATAAACTCACTGTCCCCTAAGGGTCCTTATCCAATCTTTCACGTTGCTGTCGTCAATTTGATACTATATTGAGAGTTCTTTAAAAAGCATAACGTTCAGGGCAGATGATTTTACTAGTTAAACTAAACTATTATTTAACTTTAAGGAGACTTCAGAGGATAGTTTTGGTTTATGTTTTAAAGATTATCTCAGGACTATAGTTTCAGGGGTTCATCTAGCCTCTATGGCTCCAGAAAGTCTGAATTCCATGAGACTTGGTCATTCTGTTCTGCAGTTTCCCTCTTTTGATCAGGATTCTTCTATGGTATCTTTGATCAAATGTTCAGCAATGCTAGCCAGGTACCATCCAGTTCTTCTGGTCTCAGGGCAGCTGTTCAGAGTGCTGCACATCCTAGCTCCTCCTATTCCTGACTCTCCTTCTTCCTCTGCTACTCCAGGTGAATGCAGACCAATTGTGATCCATAGGGTGTCCAGTAGCTGATGTTTAAGACGCAGATGGTCAAGCCTGGCTTCTGAAGTATCTGTGCTTAAACCCCCAACATTTTGGGCTACTAGATGAGTAGGGATTCCAGGTTTGCAGTAACCTCTGCTACTTGAATGAACAAATGGAGGTGCGTGGTGTGCTCTGTGCCCTGCATTATGCCACTGGATGGAGGCATGAACAGAGGCCGGTACCTGTTCTGCCCAGCCTGTCCATTTAGCATCATGGGCTGTCACTTTACTGGCCACACCCTAGCCCTTACTTGAGTGGCACAGTCTCCCTCCTTGGACACTCTTCATATCGGACTGCCCACCATCTGGCTGTCTCTGTCCCCAGCCTGTCAGCTCCACAGGGCCTGGCACACAGTGGGTGGGCAACATGTGGTCACCTGATGTGGCTGTGCATGCAACCATCTCTTTGAAAGCCTTGCCCTGGGGGCTCCACAGGGCCTGGCATACACAAAGTCTTCACCCTGGTGTTGAATGAATGTCCCAGCCATCCAAGCAGCACACACAGGAGAGAGGCAGCACTGCCCCGTGGTCACAGCAGGTCAGGATGCACCACCTGTGTGAGTCCCAGTTCCACCCAACCAGCCCAGCCCTCAGGAGAGCCCTCTGGGCTTCAGTCCACACCTGTCTTCTTATCTCCTCCAGCACTGGGAAAAAGGAGTGGCTGTGGAGGTGTTAGGCGTCAGGGCAGCACTCCCAAACTCACAGGTCAGCACCCTCGGCCCCTCCATCACACCACACCCATCATTTCTGCCATCATGCACCATCAGGTCTCCCAATAATTGCTAATACTAATTATCAATAATAACACCCCTCCCTTTATCTGCCATCTCTCTGGCAGCTTGGGGCACACTTTGTAGACAAAATTTCTGTCTCTTTCATCCTCCCCACTGGGATGGGCGGAGCGGAGAGTGAGCCCGTTTTGATAGGCACAAGGGCTGAAGTTGAGATGTGACACCTGAAGGCATCCTAAGCATCATCTCTTTCCTGTGGTTCCCCTGCCCCACTCCACCTGCATTGATGGCTCCCACCTGGAAGTGCTGGACACTTTCTGCTTGTCACTTGCCTCTGGTGTGAAGGAAAGGGCCCAGGACATGGGGAAGGGGGATGCTGTGTTCATGTCCACCCATTCTCTGCGTATCTTTGGACAAGTCACTTAATCTATCTATGCCTGGAATCCTCTGCCATTTTCTGGTGTATCTGCCCAGGATGCACCTTGGGACATACACGTGTGTTCGCACACACATGTATATATAGCCATGTGCATACACACAAGCATCCATATACATATAGCCTACATACATACACATGTATGCACACACACCCCCATCTCCCAGCTCCAACTTCTCCCTGAGATCTCCCCCCTGACCCCCCCACTCGCCCCCATCCCCTTCCCCAGGTAACTAAAGTTTCAAAGCTGTGGGGACTGGAAGGTCTGTATAGACTTGATGCTGGCCTGGAGGGGGCATTGGGTTTTCAACCCCAGAATGCTTTTTTTTTTTTTTTAATGCAAAAACTCTAACCCATAAAATAGCTCGAACTACAGAAGTACTCTGAAGCACTATGATGGAAAGATTCCAGGAGCCATGGAACCGCAGCTAAATGTCATTCAGTCACTGTGCCCTCCTCAAGTTGCACAGGCCAAGAGGGGAACCAGAGGAGCAAGGACTTATCCAAAGCCAGCAAGTAACAAGGCCAGTCACCTGCTTAAAAAGGAAGGGCTCATCATAGTCAGGATGAGGAAGTGTTTGTCTGGAGGGGGGAAGGGTATTGCTGAGGAGACTGAAGTTTGGTCCAGAGGACAGGCTCCTAACTGACTAGGACTGAATGTGGGGACTGTGGGCAACAAATGAAACTGAGAGGGCAGGAGGTACTCTTTAGGTGGCTCCCACTTCTCACCTCAGGAGAGCAGAACATTTGCTTGCTGTTACAAGAATCTGACACAAGGTGGTGCCATAGTCAAGAGCCTAGAACCCTGAAAACGCTCCAGGACGCTGTCAGGGTTTCAGACCCTAGAGTGCCTGCCTCCTGCTCAGGCTGTGGAGGACAGCTGGCCACCACCCATCCCAGAACTGGAACCAGCCTAACTCTTCCCTCTCTCACCAGTCCAGCCCCAGGAACTCCCCCAGAGCCCTCTGCAGGAGGCAGAGCTGAGACTAGAACTAGTTTTCCTGACTCCCACCGGGACGTCTCCTAGCCTCCTGCTTGTTACCCACCCACTCGTGCCCAATCACAGGAGACAGCATGCTCTCAGGCAGCAAGAAGCTCCCAAGTCAGTTGGGAAACAGCCAATCTCCACATATGAGTCTAAAGCCAGAGCCAGGAATAGGTCCAGCTGGGTGGGCAGGGAGACTTTACAGAAAAGTGGCATCCATTGATTCCACACATTTCCTGAGCTCCCTCTACACACCAGCACAATGCCAGGACTTGGGAAACTCACGTTGTCCCACCAACTTGTCCCAGCACTATAGAGATGAGGAAACCGAGGCTCAGAATGATCATGTAAACTGCCCCAAGTTGCACAGGCAGAGTCAAAGAAGGGTTCAGTGCTCAGTAAATGGCAGAGGTGGTCATCAACAATGCTTCAGGTCTCCACAGCAGACACCAAGGGGCAGGGGGCTAATGGGATAGGCAGGGCTGGGGTCATTCCAGACCACTCTTTTACCACCTGGTAGCGTAGTGGTTATGAATCAGGCTGTGAACCGCAAGGTCAGCAGTTCGAAACTACAAGCTGTTCCACAGGAGAAAGATGAGGCTTTCTGCTTCCATAAAGATTTACAGCCTCGGAAACCCTGTACGGGGTCGCTGTGAGTTGGAACCGACTCCACGGCACATAACATTTGACCTCATGCAAATCACTCATCCCCTCTAGGCTTGGTTATCTCTTATAAAAGGGTGCTGCGGGGGAAAGTCCTGGTGTGGTGCTGTGGGTTAATGCACTGAACTGCAAAATCAATCTGAGCCACAAGGTCGGCAGTTCAAGCTTACCAGCTGTCCCTCGGAAATGCTATACAGGAATGCTATGGGTCAGAACTGCTTCAACCCCACTAACAACAAACAATGATGCTAATACCCATTCTATAGGGTGATCGATGGGTTGAACTGCCTGGCATCCCCTGTCAAGTAACGAGAATCCCAAGGCCCTCCATAACTCATGAGTACTACCCACAGCGCATGATCCAAAGGCCCCAGCCTCACCTCTGACTGGGCACAGCAGGCTGGCGTTCTCTCCGGCCACTCTCTCCAGCAGGCCGCTAGTCTCATCGGCCCCCCAGTGTGGTGGCTCTGGTGGAAAGGATATGACCAGGCTCAATCTCCCAGGACCCAAGGGCTGGTACTCCCCAAAGGACTCATGGGTCAAGGGAACCCCAGGAGGGGCACAGGCCCTCAGGACCAGTAGAAATGGCAAGTCCAAAGGGCCACACCACCACAGACCAAGGAGACTGAGCTTAGATTCCCAACTTCAGGGGGGCTGAGCTGTCCTTCCCCTTCAGTCTCTTTGCAGCAGTGGCTGTGCAACTTTCTTTTAAATTAATAAACATCTAAATTCATAACAGTGCTCCAGAACTTTCCAAGTTCCAGGTGCTTCACATACATTCTCTTACTGAGAATTATTATTGGACTCACTTTACAGAAGAGAAAACTAGAGGTCAGAGAGTGGAAGGCGCTTGACATGGACTCACTAGCCTTCTGTCCAACCTCATGTATTCAGAAGCCTCATAGATCACAGGCCTGAGGGAAGAGCAGGGAGCCCCCTGGTGGTGGTTTGGAGGACCTATCCGCCATTACCCCCTGGGCTAGCCAAGGCTCTCAGACTTCAGGCCTGCCAGCCTCTGCATTCGGAGGTGGAGGGGATGGTGCTCAGATAGGGCAAACATTCTGACCCGGGAAGGAAAGTGACAAGCAGGACCAGCGTCCTGAGCAGCAGACAGGTATCACATGAGTCCAAGCTGTGACTGGAGGGAGATGAGGAGAGGTGAGTCCTGGGGTCCGCGGGGGGACTCACCCAGCACTCTGAGTTCCAGCTCCCATGAATCCACTCCGGCGCTGTTGGTGGCCTCACAGCGGTACACCCCGGCGTCAGAGGCCTTGATGGCTGCAAAGTGAACAGAGCCCTTGGGGGCCCGGCCCCGCAAAGCTACCCCGTCCTTGGACCAGCTCAGCCGGGGCTCCGGGTTGCCCTCAGCCACGCAGTTCAGATCCAGGGCTTCTCCGGTAAGGACCTTCAGCATGCGAGGACCCAGCTGCACCTGAGGTGGGGCTGACAGGAAAACAGGAAGGTCAAGGGAGGGGATCCCAGATCCCTGGCCCATGGAGAGGGCCTTGCCTACCATAGGGCTCCCCACTTGCATAGTGCCGACCAGCAAAATCATCACAGTGAGGAGCAATCCAAGGCCGTAGCTCTGGGCTTTGTCAGGAAGACATTTGTTGTTATGAAGTGCCGTTGGGTGGGTTCCAACTCATAGCAACCCTGTACGGGTCTCCGAGGAGCGGCTGGCAGGTTTGAACCACCAACCTTGCTTTAGGGGTTGATAGACTATTTCTGTAAAGGGCCAGATAGTAAATATTTCAGGCTTTGTGGTCCAGACAGTGTTTCAGTTACTCAACTCTGCTGTTGTAGCACAAAAGCAGCCACAGACAACACATAAGCGAATGTGTGGCTGTGTTCCAATACCACTTTATTTATGAACACTGAAATTTGCATTTTGTGTAATTTGCCTTTTTTTCCCCCTTTCAGTCATGGAAAAAGCCACCCTTCACTCAAGAGCCAAACAAAAGCAGGTGGTGGGCCATAATTGGCTGACAGGTCATTGTTTTCGGACAGCTGTCTCGGATGGCCCCTGGGGCTCTTGGAGATGACAGGTCCTTCCCTCCTTGATGGGATGATTCACACTTACTGGCTTCCTCCGAGTAGGTCCTGGACACTTGTGGGACCCCAGGCCTTATGAACCAGAAAGCTGGCCCCAAAGAGGAAGCAACACATGTAGCAAGTGTAGCATGGCGCTTTGCATATAGCTGGTGCTTACTAAGTGACAAGGACACAACTGTTGTTAGAATTCCAAGTGCCTTGGTGGCTGGGTGGAGGTGGAAGACTGGAAAGGTCATCTTTGGGGGCAGCAGGGACTGGAGGGGCTCAGACTAGAGCTTGTGCTCTACCACCTCCACACTCAGGGCTCCTGTGGTGGGCCCACACACTGGGCAGAGATGCTGTCAGGTCACACACACACACACACACCACCACCACCACCCCGACATGCACACTGTTCCTCTTCACAGGACCCTGCCACCAGAGGTCTCCACTATACCCTGCTCTCTATCCATGGGGGTGGGGGGGGGGGGGGGTAACAGCCTCTCCAGGCCCAACCCAAGAGTATGGGGAGATTGAGAGCAAGAGGAGAAGGAGATTTGGGAAGGACAAGCAGAGCTGGAGGTGGAAGTGGAGTCGAGGGAGCTAAGAAGGCCTGAGAAAGAGACAGAGGGAAGAGCAGGGCACTGGGCTCTGGGGAGCAGGGTCTGCAGGAAGGAGACCCAGGCCCTACCTTGCACACTGAGGATGTATCGGCGGGAGGCAGAGCCAGCGGGGTTGCTAGCCGTGCACTGGTACCGGCCGCTGTCACTGACCTGTGCCTGGGTCAGACGTAGGGAACCGGACGGGAGGAGGCCATGCCTGCAGAAGGAGAGGGGCACTGGTGAGACCCTAACCAACCTAGCTCACTGGGAAGGCCTTGAAACCAGATGCCTCCCACGGGAAGCCTTTGAGACAACATCGGCGCTCATGGGGCTGACATCTCATTGGGCTCAGCCCCCAGAACTTAGCATGTCCTCCATTCCTTCCCCTTACCCACATTCACTTCTCTGAACCAAGGATCGGGAGCTGCCAGGCCATGGCCAAACCCCATCTCTATGGGTGTAACAGGTAAAGAGCCTTAGATGAGTTCACTGGTTGAGCTTTGAGTCCAAACTCTGAACCCTTCCTAGTTGTGTGGCCTCAAACAAGTCACTTCACCTCTTGGAGTTTCGTGTCTTCATGTGAAGAATGGGAGCAAGGGCCTGTCCCTGGGTTTGGTGCAGAATCTACTGTGAGCCCAACTAAATTCTGGCACCTGGACACTGTGCCCTTACCTGGTGACTACAGGCAGCAGGCCTACACAGTGGAATGAGGCCCCAGTGAGGAGAACACTATTGCTTCGAGAAGATGTCGTCAACCCCAGGCTGTCCGCTCTAAGTGCTGGGCTGCCTGACTCCTAAACCAGTACCTTCTGTTGTTCCGTTGCCTGGATCTGTGTTGAGGACCCTCCAGGAGGAAGTTGCTGAGCCCTCACCCTAGCAACTCCCCCTCAACCCAGACCATCTTATTGAAGTCACCTGGTCCCCATCCCACAGGAATCCAGGACCCCCAGCCAGAATCCAGCAGCTGGGCCAGGCCCCAAGGGGCCCCTGCAGACATGATATCATCAGCCCATATGTACTATTTTCCTGCAGTCCTGGCCCCTATAAAATAGGGGGCAGCGATGGCCACTGGCCTTAGTTGCCCCCAAGAACAAGCAACCAGTATGTAGGTAGGAGACCCCAAGGCCAGTCTTCTAGTATCTTGTCTGTCAGAGATTACCAGCTGGGCACTGGAGTTAGACAGACCTGAGTTCCAGTCCTGGTCCCCACACTCCTTTCTGTTGAGCCTCAGTGACCCCCCACCTCCCAGACACAGCTGCAAGGATCACATGAGATGCTAAAAGCAAAACTCAGAGGACACAGTTATCAAGCAGGTCCATTCACTCGCTGTGTAACCTCAAGCTACTCTCTTTGCACTGATGGGCCTCAGTCTCTCCATCTGTAAAATGGGGTAAGAATCCCCCTGCCCAGTGACCGCCTCTATCAGTTTGTCCCTGGCATCCAGTAGGTACACAGGACACCTTCTCTGAGGATTGCTGTGAAAGGCAAACTGGGCCGTGGTATCTAGACCCCAACTCTGAGCCAGACCACCAGCCTACGCTGCCATATGTTTGCTGGGTGAGGCTGGACAAGTCACTTTTGGTATCTCAGCTGTCCCATTTTGGAAAATACAGACAACAATACAATTTATCCCATACAATGTTGTCGAGAGGGTTAAACGAAGATTTACAGAGCGGTGCTGGGACAGAGATTCCTCAACGAAGGTCAGTCGTTCCCATCATGCATATGCACATGACACATGACACTATGAAAGTGTGTGGGGCCAGCTCACTTCTCTCACTGCCCTACAGCAGTCCCGCATGTGACTGCTCCACACTTATGAAGGTAGCTTCCTTCAGGTTGACATTGGATGTTTTCTCTCTTGTTTCTTTTACTTTCTTCCTTCCTTTCCTTTCTCTTTCACTGATTCTTTCTTTCTCTCTCTCTTCTCCCTCTCCTCTTGCTTTCTCTCTGCCTCTCTCTCTCTCTTTCCTTCCTTTACGGCCCTCTCCTACCACCAGAGTGCTCTGCCTGCTGTCATCTGCTAATCCACAGGAGTAGCACAACCAGACCAGGCCCACAGGCCCACACACCATCAGCTCTGACCTGCCGACTGCAGTGTTCACTCCTCGCAGGACAGTTGCTGCCAGCCGAATTTCCCAGGAGTGTGTGAAACAAGCAGATTCCCAGGTCCTCCCCAGAGACTCTGACTCACTGTGTATGTGTGTATGTGGTGACTGGCCTCAGGCAGCTCTGATACAGGTGGTTAGGGGGCCACCCTTTGGGAAGAAACACTGTCCAGGGACACTAGGAAGTACCTTAGCCCCAAGAAGCAGGGTGACAGAGCAGTTGGGAGCAGTGCTTTGACAGTAAGTGGACCCAAAGTGTAACACCATCCTGGCCATTTACCGGCTGACCTTGTACCAAGGATTCCATCTCCCTGTGCCTCAGTTTGCTTATCAGGAAAATGGGACTGCTATGCATAGCCATTCACAGATGTGGTGTAAACTGACATGATATGTGTAAAGCTCCAGTTTCATGGATATAACATAGTAAGTGCTCAGTGAATGGCCCTACTATTAACATGACTCCAACCCCCTTCAAGTATCTGAGGTCTAGTCTCCCAGTCTCTAACCAGCTGACGACCCTGAGTAGGTGAGTTCATCTTTAAAGTCTGGAGGAAGAAGGACAATCACCATACGTTGGTTTGTTCCAGGAGGGGGGAATGTTCCTGCTGCCTAGCTACACTTCCCCTGCCTGGACTTTCTCACCCACGGTGGTTTTTTTAAGTTAAATCCTATTGATGTGCCAACACTCATCAAGCAAGGGTCAAGTTCAGGTGGGACTGAAATAAATACATCCACTCACTCTCAGGCTGGAGCGCAATTCCCAGCTCAGACCTTTCTGCAATACCTCGGCTGGTACAATGGGGTCAGTAGAAAGAGGTCTGGACCAGGAATCCAGAGTTCTGGGCTCCAGGTCCAATTCTACTACAGACATGCTGGGCAAATTACATCTCTGAGCCTCATTTTCTTCATATTTAGATTCAGTTATCTGAGAGGCCGCCTTGCAGTTCTTCTGACAACTTAAGAGCCATAAAGCCCTTCCCTCCTTCCCTCATCAAGCCCTTAAAAGGATCAAACCAAAAAACCCAAACCCAAGGTTACAGAGTCAATTCTGACTCATAGTGACACTGAAGGACAGACAAGGACTGCTCCCTGGGTTTGCTCCTTGGAGCAAACTGCTTCAAGGCTGTCAGTCTCCTTTGTCCTACGGATAGGAGATGGGAACTCAATTGTGGGAGCTCCCTGGGAAAAAATCTAAGCAACTTCCAAAAGTGGAAAGCATTCTCAACCAGGTTGTCTTTCTCATAATCAGCATTCCCAGGTCAGTTTTCCAAAAGGAGGCACTGGATCACAGATGGAGAAATGGAAGAAGGGAGAATTCATTTCACAAATGGACAAGCGGCAGCCTCCAAAGGCCAAAGAACTCAGTGCCCACACTGCAGAGCCTGTGTCTGCTCTCAGTTCTAATCCAGCCATATCACTGTCCTGCTCCCTCCATGACTGCCCAAGACGAAACTCAAGCTCAGTAGCATGGCCTGTTGGCGTATGTGTGATCCAGTCCCATCTGCCCCCTAAACTTACCACACACATCTCCTGCCCTGGATGACTTATTCTTTCTTAGAGAGGGAGGTACATCTAACTTTCACACACACACACCCCATGGTCTCACTCCCTGGAACACTCCTCTACCTCCTGCTTACCTGGGTAACCCTACTTATCCTTCAATAATTAGACACGCCTTCTCCAGGAAGGCTGCTCTGGTGTACCAGGCTGGGAGACACCTGCAGCTCCCCCATCACACCCTTCCTACACTGGCTTATGATTGCCTGTCAGTCTCCCCTTTACACGGTGGGCTCCAAGAGGGCATACCCCCATCAGGCTTTGTATCTCAAAACCTTGCCTAGATCTGACTAGAACAATGCCCTTTATCATGCCCCCTGCTCAAGCTCCAATAAGTCTTGTTATTGAGTGCCAATTCATAGGGACCCTGTATAGAATTTCTAAGGAGCGGCTAGTGGATTTGAACTTCTGACTTGCAGTCAGCAGACCAGTGCCACAGTGCTTATCCCACAGAGTCATGGAGGAAAGGATAAATTGGACCTGGCTGGACAGGAGGTGCCCTGAGGGGGTTGGGGGAGGAGACTTCCAGGGAAGCCCACTGCCTCCTCCCTCTGCCCCTTCTCCTGGTTCTGGAAGCTCAGTGGGAGGGCTTGGGGGCTGCCTAGAAGGGCAAGGAGAGGTGGGAGGAAATGGGAGGGGTCCCATCTCTCTGAGGAATAGGCTGTTGTGGAGTGTGTGTCGTAATGAGCGGGAGCAGACTTCACCATTCGTGTGTAGCCAGATGGCTCTGAGTGGCGCCCAGATGAGAACACAGAGAAGTTGGTGGGGAATTTCCTGTTTATGAGCTTTCCCTGTTGGCAAGGCAACCAAGCTCACAAAGTCAGCCCCACACATTCAGATGCAGGAAGTAAGGGACCACGGGGACCTCACAGGTAGAGCACTGCCCTGGAGCTCCATGGGGGACCTACCTGTCAGAGAGACCAAAGGGCATTTGATAGAAAGTGATCAAATAATGCAAATCCCCAGGTCATACCTGCCTAGCTTATTCCTCACCCAACTCCGTTAATCTCTCCAACTCCTGCTCATCCTCAGTGACTCAGTGCAGCCTCCCTGATGCCCGGGATGAGGCAGGCTCTCCCAATGTTTGTCTTGCTGCCTTATGAGCACTCCAACCTGTGGTGTGAGCACCATCAACAGCCATCCAAGCAAAAGCACTCTCTCCACAGTTTACCCATTCCACAAGGGCTGACCCTCACCCACAGGGCACTCAGTCAGATGCCCATTGCATGCCAAATTACACTCTCCTGAAGACTTCACACCGGTGATTTATCAAACCAGTGACTGCCTGTCTGGAAGGAGGAGCCTGGTCTGCTTTGGTCCCAGCTTGTCTCTGGCTCTTGGCACAGGTCCTGGCCCATCGTAGCTATTCAATAAAAATTTGATAGCAAATTCCATCTGCCGTCTGTCCATGCCTCCCTCCCCATACATTTCCCTGCCCCTTCACATGCACTGTCCCCCTCCCCCCATGTCAGTGCCTCTGGTGCCCTCCAGCCCTTTCCAAATTGCACAGGCTGCAGCTCTCACATGAAGCCTCCCCTGATGACTAAGTCAA